CTTACTTCAGGGTATCCTCTTCCTTGGGGTCTTCACTTCATTACCAGAAAGGGAGGATGTGGAGGGAGGGAAGTCACAGTCCATGAGAGCCAAGAGTGGGTTTATTTCATCTGGCCCTAGTCACCCCTGTGGCACTCATGGTCCAAGGGGGCAGTGCGAATTACTCTATTGACAGTGGGGGTTTAAAGTAGATTTAAGAAAACTTTGCAAGCAGTGGTGATTCAGTCTCTGCAGATAACATTTTCTGATAGCATGTATGAAGGAGATGATAAAGTCCCTCTTTTCTCTCTTCCTCTTAGGCAACAAAGAGTTTAGTGCTGACAGGGCATTGTAAGGCCAGAAGGCTTTAGGGCTTTGGCAAGTGTCTGAGATTAAGTGACAACTATTTTTTCCTCTCCTTCCCTCACCTTGCTGGCAGGGGTGATCTGAAAGGAGAAGACAGCACTCAGTGCTGTCAGGTGCCCAAGCACTGCTGGCCACATGTGGTACAATCCCTGGGAACACAGGGCTGGAGGGTGTCCTGCACATTTTGGTGCTTGACTGCTCATACCAGCAACACACCCTGCCCTTGGGGAGGGATGGCATGCCACCAGAGACACACTGGATTCCCTGGGCTGGAAGAAGCTGTGTGAGCATCTCTGGCTTAGTCTGAGGAGTTGAGACTGGCTTTTGTAAGTGTGTTGTTTCTCCTTCAGTAATGCTGTGGCCGAGGAGGTGCCTGCTGTGAGTGCAGGGGCACTGTGGTGTCTACAGCTGGCATCTGCACTACAGGCGCAGTACCACACCTCAAGAAGAAGCAGACTGTGACCTGGCCTGAAGGACAGGTGGGCTGCAGTGCCTGAAGTCAGCATCTGCAGTCCAGATGTTGGGTACCACCACAGCCAGCACCTGTGGTGCAGGCATGTGGTACCGCCTACCTGTTGCTATTGGACATGAAATGATTAGGCAGAAACTTGGTAAGCTCAAAAGAGAAAAAGACTTAGTTTTATTCAAACATCTGGTATTTATAGAATTCCAAAGGTGACCGTGGATTGGAGGATGGAATTACCATCTCTTCAACTACACCGGTTCAAAGATCAATCAATCAGTTCTCTCCACCCACAGAGAAATATGTAAACTATTCTATTTATACATGAAATTATGTGGGAACTCTGACTCTTAAATATATAAACATTATCAGAAGGCTAAAGAAGTTTTATGAGAACTTCAAGATTTTTCAAAGAACTATAAAAGAAAACTTAACACTTTTAAAAATCAAAACAACACCTACCCTTGGCTTCTGTGGTACAGGTGGTACCTTGCATGTGCTGTTGGGGTCTGCAGCACAGGCAAACTGCAGCAACTACAGCCCCTGTCTGCAGCAGAGGTGTCCATCCACAGCCCATGTCTGCAGCAGAGGTTGTAGCACAGCATCAACACTGCTGTCAGCAGTGCAGTCACGCCGTGGTGCCTGCCTGCAGGACAGGCACTGCTAAACTCCTTTGGAAGGCTTAGGGCAAAGCTGGAGGGGAAGGAAGCAACTAAACAGTTTGTTTTTCCCCCAGTTCACCACTTCAGAGCCAGACTCCATAACAGCACCTGGTGGGGAATTGTCTCATGGAAGACTTTGTATGGAAACACTAGGTTTTAAAACTACCAATTTTCTTCGGAGGCAGCCACACACTTCTAGAAGGAGGGTTTTATTTATTTATCATTGCTGAGAGCAGCCTGTGGCAGGTGAGAGTTGTGGTGGGAGACTGGCTCACATCCCTCACTAGTCCTGCCCTGTAGCTCCTGTTTCCAGATGCCAGATGGTACTCCATTGCTAAAGCTTTGGAGATTATACTAAGGGAGAGCTGCAAGGGATCCATTCCATTGCCTGCTCAAAGGAGGACAGTGGGACTATTAAGCAGAAAGTGTCATCCTACTTTTTGCTTGGATATACAATCACTTTCACCCCTGCTGTGCTCCCCCAGGACTCTCCTCACCCCATCACACCAGCACAGTTAACGTCACATCGCTGTGCCCCTTCAGTCCTAATCCAGCTCAGGGAGCACATGCCTGGAAACATTTGGTTTAGATTGAGAACTGCTGGAGGGGACCTTATTCATGTCTGGGTTGAGTTGCCTTCTGCTAAGAGTGACAATGACTGATGCCCTCATTATGCTTGATGTAGACGACAAGGCAGGGAAATATCAACCTTTGATGTCTCCCCAAACAGGAAGTTGTGGACAGGGAGGATGGCTATACGGTCCACCACTTCATGTGTTCCCTATCCCCCTTTCTTCCTCCCTAGGCTTCTCTTTCCAGTCTACCTCCAAGAAATTATTCATTACAGGGGAAAATTTACCTTTTGCATGGAAGATTGAGTTTCACACTGTGGGCTTTGCTGTGTAATAAATGTGGTTCCCCTCCCTCACCTGTATACTGCTCCCTGCTGACACGGGGACATAGCTCAGGACTCTGAACACCTGGTGAGATGCTGCTTACTGGCCTGTGCACCCAAATACCAGGGTGCTGGCTTTTACTAGAGAAACAGATAAGCAAGCAAATACAGCAATGAAAATTTGCATTGGAAACAACTGCAGAAATTGTGAAGGCTTTGTTATGTGCTTGGAGAAGAAAAAATCAACATGGCTTTCGGCAAAATAGTCAAACAAAACAAATACTGCATAGAAAATTGCAATTCCAGTGAGAAAAAGTTGGTTTTCTGGCTATATTTTTTGTTCTAAAATAGCTTCACTCTTGCCTTGTCACAGGGCTAATCTCTATGAAGAAATGAGGTTTTCCAGGGTAAGAGCAGTTGAGTGGTGAATTCTCTGTGCTGTCACTGGAAGCATCTGCCTGTGTCCTGGCCATGCCAAAGCATCCTTAGGGATCTTATCTGGGTCCCTCTGCTCTCTCTTACTCCACCTGTATTCCTTGAGACTAACAGGGCTCTGGGACAGAAACCATTCCCTGCAACATAACTGTGTCTGTTTCAATGCCAGCCTAGGCACATCGGCAAGAGCAGCAGCAATTATTTTACAAGCTGAGACAAGGGAGGAGCAGCAGGGTGTGGGCAGCAGGTGGCTTTGTTCCCTGGCAGGGCCGGGAGATAGAGCATGATGCTGGTGATGGTATTTACACTGAGCCAAGGTGAAGGCTACATCAAGGAGATCTCACACTTTCCAAAGAGCAGGCTGGTTGTTGGGGCGTCCTGTCTCACCTCCTGTCATTGCCATTGTCCCCAGAAATGGGGTGGCTGCATGGCTGCAATAGCTGGAGATACCTGGATTGTGGTGAAGGGAGATTATGGCCCTGGTTCCTTGCTGACTTCAAGTCCTAGTGCCACCCATCAACTCCCAGGGCTGTAGAAAAGGAATGTTCAGTGGAAAGTAAATTTGAGTGTAAATAGGGAGAGTTGGTTCCTAGGTTGCATGTGGTTTCCAAGCTGCTCGGGGTCACATGCCAGCAGTGCCCCAAGATGTGGCATTGCCACAGCAGGCAGGAGAGAAGCAGGGGGAAAGAAGAAGAGTGAGTGATAAGGAGGTTGTAATTAGCACTTAGCGCTCCTGCCCAGAGCTTTCAGAGGAAGGTCACCTTCATTATCTCTGTTTTACAGACGGGGAAACTGAGGCATGGGAGAGGGGCAGATGGAGTGATTTGCTTAAGGTGACATGTGAGGGCTGCCAGCAAGGTCCAGGGCTTGCATATCTGTGCTCTGCAGTACCAGCACACTTGATATGGCTCTTGCTGCCAGCCCTTGGAGCCCAAATCCAGCACTGAAAAATCAGTAGTAAAGGACATGGATCCCTTCTCTGCCCATCTCCAGACCCACCCTCTTCAGACACACTATTTCCCACATCATCCCTGCCCCTAAGAGACATTTGTGAATCAGACTGGTCCAGCTGCACTCCAAAATCTGCCCATGAAATCCCACCCAGCTGCTCCTGCTTTCCCCTCCAACCCTGCAAAGGTTTGCTGTGAACCTGAGGCCATCTGTGCTCCTGCAACCGTCACGTTGGGTAATGGAATATGTTTTGCTGGATTTTTTTTCTCTCACCAATGGAGCTCCCCCTTTATTTAGGTTTAAATGGATGCCATCTGGCTAATGAGCCCATACTCATGTTCTAGATTAAAAGGCAATCCTGTGCACGTTACAGATATGGCACTGGAGATTAGAGAGGCTTAAATGGTTTTGAAGGTGCAATTTGCTTTTCATGCATGGTGCAATTTACTTCCTGGTGGGTGGGCCAGCATCCCTGTTGCTGTTCCCAGCAGCTCCCTTCTGGCTCTAGTCTCCTGTACCAGCCCTGCCTGCAAGAAAATGAGAGCTTGGGCATCTCCAGCCTGGCAGGGCCGTGCAGGGTATCCTTGTAGTAATTGCTGCCATTTGTCCACTCCTAGATGGGCTTTTTGGTGCAGGCAGGATGTCTTGATCACCTGTTTTCTTAGCTGTCAGCCCCTCCACACCTCCCTGCACCACACCATCCCCCAGGACAAGGCACAGCTCACCAGGACAGAGTAGCCTCTGCCCCTCTTCCAGCCCAGAGAAGTGAGGGACAACTGTGGCCCATCAAGATATGGATGGCAGGTGGCTGAGGCTGAGGTCTCTGCTGAGATCAACATCTTGCACATCCTGCACCACCAACTGCTGCTGTGAACTACCTGGGTGTGCTCCCATCTCCTCAAAACCCCTATAACCCATTTGCAGGTAGCATTGGCTCCTGGGATGCTGCTGCATCTGCCAAGGAGAGCCCCACCAGGGGTTGGCTTTCCTAAGGAAAATGTTGAAAACAACATGAGGAAGATAGAGCATTTGTGCAAGACATATCATCACCTCCAGGCATCTCCCATGGGATGTGCCACAGGCTATTGCGTGATGAGGAGTGAGCCAGCAAAGTGCCTCATTTTGGAGTGAATTTCCCCTTGGTTGCGATGGAGCTGGTTTTACAGTCATCTCCTTGCTGTCCCATCACTGGGGTCTCTCAGCCCTGGGGGCAAACCCTGACTGCTCCTGCCTGTGTTTGCTTCCACAGATGGCTAACCCTGTCCCGTCAGCCTGCTGCGTGGTGCTCGCCGCGGTGGTGGTGGTGTACGCCCAGAGGCACAGCCAGCAGGGTGAGTCCTTCACACCTCCCAGGCCCTGGGGGTCCTGAAAAATGGGAATGCTGCTCCTTCAGCCCCTCGTTCCTGGGTGAATCTGGGTGCACCCTCCAGGTGTGCCTGATATTATTTCTGTGCATGTAATCACTTCTCTCCATGACAAGTGTCCTTTCCAGCCCATCACTGTGGAGTTTGGGCATCCTGCATCTCCCTCTGCTGATGCCCCTTGCCCCGCCCACAGCTGTCTGTGTTCCTACAGCTTTGGAACTCTTTGCCCACTCTTTTGTGGATGCTGCCCCATGCAGCCTGCCCATGAAGGGGTGAAGAGTTGGGAGGAAGCATCAGCCTGACAGCTCCAAACTCTAATCATCTCTGACAGCTCCATGACACCTGGCCCCATGACAATGATGCATGATGCTTCATCCTGCTCTCACCTCCTTGGGATGACTTAATCCCCACTGCCACCACACATCTGTGCCCACCATTAGCTCACATCTCTCCAAGTTAGCAGAGGATTCAGGGCTTATTTTAGTGGTACCTTTAGAGGGATTATACTTTAGAGTCACTGGTGGCATTGGGAGCCAGAGGAGCCCCACATGATTTTGCATCTAGGTAGGAGCAGGAAGATTATGAGGGATGGTTGGGTCCTGGTGTGGAGTCCAGCTCTGCAAAAATTGGAAAAAATGGGGAAGCCGGGAGCCCACAGAATTCCCTGCTTTTCCTGGCAGCCTGTCTGTAGTAGCTTTTAGAAGATCTTAGAGGGGAATTTTGATTATTAACTCCAGTAAAGACATCTATGCATCCTTGGGCTATGTGAAATTGAAGAATCCACCCAGAGTGCCCACTGAGCTGCCCTAAATCCAGGCAGCTTTACATTGCCACAAACTTCCAGGTTGGACAAAAAGCAGCCCGGGTTTGACAACATATCTGCATTGCATGGGGACAGCCACTCCCTGGACACAGAAGGATCTTGCTGGCTGGTGTTGCAGGAAGGTCCCAAACCCTTCCCAGGGTGCCTGCTTAGAGCATTTAGGTGCTGAGCTGTATGCTGCTTGTGGTGGTGTAATGCTTCCTGCAGAGAAGCAAAGCTGCTCATTGCTGCTGTGCTTGCAGGATCACTACCTGGGAAGCTTTAAAGGACGTGGCAACAGGACTGCCAGAGCATCCTTTGGATGCTTTGAATAGTAACCCAGGCCTGTTGCACTGGGAGATGCACAAAACACAGACATGCCATGTACTTCAGGGTTGTGCACACTTGAATTGTGTTGTCTAGAGAAGAACAAATGCTGCTTCTCACTAGGTAAGCAGGTCCACACATTTTGTCACTGACAGCTGGTGCAGAGCTGCAATGACTGTTACCTTCTGCTCTGTGATAGAGCAGGATTCAGGAGTTTGGCAGCATAGCGTCCCATGTCCTTGTGTCCCTCCTATTTCCCTTGCCTGCCTGTGTCTGGGAGGAAGGTTTCTGGGGCACCAGCTCAAAACTGAAGCTGCTGAGGCCTGTGTGCATCAACAAGTGCCTGAATGGTGTGTGGGAATGAGGCAGGGCTCTTCCCATCTGTAGCAGCTTCACTGGGGGACAAAAAAAGGGTATAGGATTAGAAAATTACTTATGAGATAGTAGGATGCCTTCAGCACTGTTCTCAATCTATTCCCCAGGGGCACTGCATGTCCCTCTCTGAAATGCCAAGGTGTGCTCTGGGCAAGAGCTTTGGAGCAGCAGATCTCCCACCCACGCCACTGTGCCTGGCTTGGAGAGGCTGCACACAGGCAGGTCAACAACAGAGACCCAAAGCTTGTGCCCTGTGCCCTCACCCCCTGCCCTGCTGCAGCCTCTCCTCACCAGCCAACCCCAGAGCTCATCCCCCACCAGCTGGGCACTCGGGCTGGAACTGCACAGCTGGAATGGGGTGGGAGGCTGGATTAATCCCACTGGTGGCAGGGACTCGGTGGAGTAGTGGGAAGATGCTGGCATAGAGTCCATTTATCATGCACTTGAGGCACGTTCGACTTTAATAGCTCATGAAGCACTCTAAGAGATGCATTAGCACTGAATACTTGAGTGAGGAGGATGTGACAAGCTGTTAAGTAAGCATGAGCACTGCGGAGGGAGCCTGGCCACCCTCTCCTGGCTCTCATGTGCACCGAGGTGATTACTGGAGCGTCCTGCAAAGTGCCACATGAATTAATAAAAGCAGCATCAGGCTTCGCGAAGGTGAGGCTGTTCCTGTATTAACCCCTCTGCTGCTCCCTTTGGTCCTTCTCCTTGGAGCTGGCAGAGCATATGTCTGGGATGCAGAAGCCTGGGATGATCTCCAGTGTTGGGAGAAGGGAGTGAAGGGGCTCCGAGGTCAGTGGATTTGGGGTTTCTGTGGCCTTTGGGGTGAAGGAGCTCCCTTGCTTTGCATCCCTGTCAGGCTGCTCAGGCTTCACATGCATCATACAGCTGGGAACTGAACTTCCCAGGGGGTGGGCACTGGGTGATGGGAGACCACAAACATCCAGCAGAGTAGCCCTAGGGCGATGCTCAGAGGCTGGCACTAATGTTCTGGCTCTTAGCAGTGGGTTTGACATATCTGCTGCAGGGAAAGGCAGAGGGGCAATGGAAGAGGGTGTCCAGGACTGTCATCCCTAGTGCATGATTAAACAGCTTTAATGGGTCTGCCAGATTGGGCCAACCTGCCTGCAGAGATGGGCATTGCACTGGACAGCTACAGGGCTGTCCCCATCTGCAGATACAGCTGGCATGGAGGGATGGACAGAAGCTGCAGGAAGAATAGGAGAGTGCACCATAGGCAGAACAAGCTGAAGACTTGGGAGCATTGTGCCCTTCATAAAGAATCACAGGATGGTTTAGGTTGGAAAGGACCTTAAAAATCATCAATCTGTAAACCCACAGCCATGGACAGCAACTAGACCTTCACTAGAATAGTTTGCATAATGCTCCATCCAATCTGGCTGTGAACACTTCCAGGGATGAGACATCCACAGCTTCTCTGGGCAACCTTCACCAGTGCCTCACCATCTTCACAGTGAAGGATTTATTCCTGATATCTAATCTACTCTCTTTCAGATTAAAGACATTATCCCTTGTCCTGTCACTGCATGTCCTTGTGACAAGTGCCACCTCAGGTGTCTTGCCCTTTTTTGTACTGGACAGTACTATAAGGTCATCCAAGAGCCTTCTCTTCTGCAGGCTGAAGAATACTAAATATTTCAGCCTTTCCTCACAGAAGAGGTATTCTAGCTCTCTAATCAACTTCCCATCATTTTGGATAGCTAAGTTTTCCTTCCTGTGTTTTGTTCTCCAGGCAGTGGTTGCTGCTAAATTTATTTCAGAATGGAGGAAAGTGATGGGGAAATCTGAGCAGAGCACCAATGCGACTGCTGTCTGCTGTGACACTCACACCTTTGGTTGTCCAAGGCCTCCACTGTGTGAGAACAGAGCTGGTGGGGGTCCCTGCAGTGCAGTGACCTCCTCCCTATCAGGGTCTGGGCTCCTTCAAAGGTCTGGGAGAGATCACAGCATGAGCTTTGGGGTTTAACCGAAGCTCTTATGTGGGAAGTGTGTACATGGTGGAGATGCCTAACCACCTGTCAGGCTACCAAGTGTACATGCATGGGTGATTTCAGCTTTTTGTACTGAATGCTGTGACTGCCTGTTGCTGGAATTACCTGTACTTATTAAACTCAATGCTTAAGGCAGTCCTGAAAAGAGGGAGCTCTACTGTGACCAAGGTGTCTTTGCCGTCCATCAGCTCTGACAGAGTTATGTCCACATCTGTCCCAGACTGAGATTTCTTTGCTTTTAAAAGAGGAGTAATTCTGCTTTATTGATCCTCACCTTGCTGAATTAACTCATGTTTAAACAATAATTATGTTTTCACCCAGGAGAGGAGACAAAGAGATAAAAGGCTCTGGAAATGAATGCACTTCAGATGCCACATGCTGGGGTTAATTTATTGATGGGTGAAGAAATTCCCATCTCCTCTCTTCCTCACCAGCAACAAGCAATTAGCCCCCATCATTCCTCAGCCAAGGAAAAGAGAGATTTTTTTTCATTACTCTCCCTTTTTTCTTGCTCTCTTAAGCCCTGACTAATCTTTTGCAGTCAGTTCTGCTGCAAAGCCTCCCAGGGGCTCCAGTTTGCACATACCTTGTTAGAAATGCTGCTGCAATGACAAAGTCTGGACCAGTAAATAGCCTTCAAAATGCACAGCAAAGCCAGGAAAATTGGCTTTTCAAAGAGAAAGCAGCTGTAGATAGGAAAACCTCTTTCCCGTTCTAGATTTGCCCAGCCTTGTCCGTGGTTTTGGCTGACCAGCACTTTCTGGACTCTGCTTCCTCCACATAAGTCAGCCCATGGCAGGGAATGCCATCTGCCTGGCATGCTTAAACTAGATACTTTGATTTTGGAGGTGTTCTCTGCATTTGCTCTGTAGGAGATGGTTTGTACATTCACAGTGGGCTGTGTGTTTTGTTTGTAGACATCTGTGTAGATTTTGGGTGTTGTGCAAATGCAGTTGAATTGAGGTGACCGGATTTAAGAGGTGTGATGGGGTGGCCTTCTGCATCCAACCTAAGATGGCTCTGCAGGAGTGCTATCTACAAATATACATTTGTAAGTATATTTAAAGTATCTCCTCTCCCTCTCCCTCTCCCTCTCCCCTCCCCTTCCCTCCCCACAGCACTATCACAGTGTCCTTCAATCATGCATTAAGCAACATGACAAACATCTGTTGTGTGTTGTTTGTTTTTGCACCCATTCCCCAGGGTGTGTGCAATAGAGTGATCTGGAATTTTTGTAATTGCCAGGGCACAGGCAGTTGCTGGGGAAGGCGAGGTCAAAGGGACTGACTGTGTGTGCAGTGGCTGGCTGGGAGGCTGGAAATGGTGCCTTCTTCCAGGCTTAGGTTAGGGCCAGTTCAGGAAAAAACTCTATATTCTCATTACATAGCACCTTTCTACCTCCCATGACACCTCCTTCTACCTCTGGCCAAGATTTCTCTCAGCACTGGCACTTTATGTCCAAGTGACTCCTGACAAGGCCTTGTCATTGTTGTCCTCCCCAGGACACCATCCTGCATTCTGCAAGTTTGACCTACATTCCTCCACTGGAGATGAATGGACTTGTGTTTGTGTGCATAAAACACATGCTCATGCTGAGGGAAGGCTCGTATATTAACTGCTCTGGACTCTGTGTCTGATGGACTCATCCTTTCCATTATGTACGTCAACTCCTGTGTCACTGGCAAACTTTGCCAGCAACAGTTTTATGTTGCCTTCAAGATAATTGATAAGACGAGTGATTAGAAATTGGCCAAGAACATATCCCTGCAGGACCACATTGGGAACACCCTCCTGCAATGATGATTCCCCATTAACAATTAATTCCCCATTAGCAATTACATTTTTTAATCCTTCCTGTTATAACTCTGGATGCTCTCGTTATCCAGCTGGCTGAAAATACCAGCCTCACTCCAAACTGCAGCCCCATTCAGCAGAGCCTTCTTAAATCATTCTGAAGGCTGCCGTTCAAGGGCAGGCATCTGCTCTTTGCTGCTCACAGCTAAGCTGGCTCAGGCTCATGGCCATTCCCTGGGAATCTGCATTGTCCTAGTGGGACCACTGCATCTGCTGGGGGACAATCTGCTGGCCCAGCCTGTGCTAGCCAGAGGTACAACCTGGCTGTAATTCAAGTTGCCCTCTGATGCCTTTCCAAGGAAGGTCCATCATCTCTATCCTTGAGCATTCATTACCGTGATGGTTTTCCCACTGCCTCCTCATCTTCCCTGCCAACCCACAGCTGCAGGGAAGCAGAAGAGACAGCAACTCCACCTGCAGGGACACCCCTGCTGCAATCTATTAGACTTTGCTGCACACTGTTAGGGTGTTTAATAGCCCATCAAGTTCTGGAGCCCCCTTTGTTGCTCTGATCTTCCTAGGTGAAGGTGAGCCTGTCTTAAGAAGAAGAACCCCAGACCCAAACAGGCACAAACATCTGTATCCTCCCCTTTCCATTTCTACCCCTCTCTCTGTTGATGAGCACCTGGCTTTATTTTTCTTTTTTTCCAGCACAAGATGCATCTCCTGAAAGATTCTCTGCCTGCAAAATAAAAGAAAACAGCAAAAATAGCCCAAAGTCCTGGAACAACTTTTTCTATTACTGGACATCCCCCTGAGCTCAAGTAGATTTCCTGCCCAGACACAGAGTGAATTACGGCCAAGCTCTAGGCAGCTGACCTTGTGGTCAGCCAGAGCACAGGCTTGCTAATAAATGTGGTCAGCCCCTACCGCAAACAGCCTATTTTTAGTGCCTGTGCTTTCTTGCCCACTGCCTCATCACTCCACAGGTTCCAGAGACGAGCATCCCACAGGGGTCCGGCCAGCAACACAGGATAGCCCTGTCGGGAGCACATCCCAGGCTTGCTCCTCCCTCCTCGGAGCTGGAAAATCAAGAGAGTTCATTTCCACACATTGTCTGTTAATTTTGTGCTGCAGAAAGTTGCTGGTACATGGCAGAGTGTTGCCTGACCTGCTGGGACACACTGCAGGAACACAGCTTGTGCCTCTCAGACTGGGATTGGAGAGCTCACAGCTCTTACCTGTGTGTGAAAAATAGCCACAGGTCAGCAATAAGATTGATGCCCCATTGTGCTAAGTGCTGTCAGATGCACAAGGTAAGATGTTCTTGAAGTGCAAGTGGGGGAAAGAAGGGAAGGACAGGAAGAAAAACAGAGGGACTTGCAGTTATGTGAGAGGAAACACAGCTTGATGGTTCAGGGCTTTGAAGTCTTGCTTTTTGCAAGTTACCAAAGTTTGTGGACATTGCAAAGAAGCAGCCTCCTTTCCATGTACAATTCTGTCTGTAGTCACTGGAACTGAATTTGCCACTTTCTGGAAATGGAAGTAGTTATTTGAAATAGAGCTGATGAAATTCTGGAGTAAAGTGAAGATCTGTCCCACATGAGCCATACAAGAGCTTGGAAGGAAACCTAGTTGGCAATATCTGTGATGCTATCAAAAAAGGGAACCCTTCCCAAAAATACATAGGCCCTATGTATTGAAGCAGATCACAAATCTGTAAAAGAATCAAAGACAAAAAAGAAAAAAGAAAACACAGATTTAGCGTGTGGATCTATTAGACTTTGTACAAGCCTGTGATCCCACAAAACCTATGAAAGAGTTCATGTCTGTGGTGAGAAGAAGAAACTGCCAGGAGGATCACAATCTGCCAGGACTCATTAGTTCTGCCAGTGTTAAGGAAAAACACATCTCACAAGTCTCGCAGGCTTCATTACACATCAACAGGCAATGGAGAAGGAGGAATGGGGTTTGTAGTCCACCCAGACATCTAGGGAAGCTTCAAGTGGAGGATTACTGCTAACACAGGGCAATGCTGCCACAACCCTTGGGGCAGGGGCAGGACCGACCAGGCTGTGGCTGTGCAGAGGGGGTAGAACTAAGTTTGTGGATCATCTACATAAGCCAGAGAGTCCTTGCCAATAATTCATTGTTGAAACCCAGTGCTGAGCAAGCCCTGCTTGTTGGGGAGAGGCTGTGAGGAAAGGTTTGGATTTCCTTCTTGGCATAGCATTGTCCTGCTGTATGGAGCAGGAGCATGGCTTCCTCTGCTGACACGTAGTTGTAAATAGACACATTGCCACAGCAGCTGGGAGCTCCCAAAGGCTGATAGAAGCCAAAATTTGCACAGATTTTCAGACCTTAGGAAGCTGAGGTTTAGCCCAGCACAGAGGGAATAGCCATGGACCTTGTTCTTTACATGAGGACTGACTGCTGAAGAGGAGCTGTGTCCTGTCCTAGCACTGATTTCCTTTTGGTGGGGGAAGAAGCAATCCTCATCCTTTCCTTACATTCTCTAAGGTTTCCAGAAATGGAAGATTGCATAAAACTGTGACAGGTGGAGTGGAAACCTTTAGTGCTTCAGGGATTTGGCTTCAGTTAGCCTCCAAAAGCTCAGAAAGGTCTCACCTCAGAAGTCACATGTGGCCATCCCAGTGAAGCAGATATCTCATATTTCCAGAGCAGCCTGCTCCCACCAGCCCATGTGTCCAACAGAACTTGGACTGAATGTAACGCTCATTATTTATCCCATTTGAAGATTTTCCAGTGTCTAAAGTCCTGGATGCTCTGAGACTGCACAGCCAATTTCCCATCAGGCTCAAAGAGCAAAATGTAGCAGCCCTGGGGACAGCTCTGGGCACCACTTGTAGGAGCCCACAACCTCAACAGTGGGTGCTCCCAATCATCCCCACAACATGTCACAGTAGCTGTGTGTGGCAGAACCCACGACCAAAAAGTCAGGAAAGGCTGAGACATCTGTAGTGTTGGGCATGGAATCACTTGCTGTTATCTTCAGCTCACCTGTGACACATATGGGAACAAGCAAAGCCCTGGATAATGGGAACACAGGTACAGCAAGATATTTAGTACAAACATCATCTCTGCTTCCTCAGGATTTTCTGGGGTGGGAACAGAGCAAAGATACCATAAAACATATTCAGGAGTGCAGATGCTGGGACACAACATCCACAAACCTGTTATCAAAGTCTTTGCTGCTGTTAGTTTCTCTGAACAGACACTGTGCTTCTATGGAAAGGGAAATACCAGATTCCTAATCAGGCCAGGAGATGCTGGAGTGTAAAAAGTATACAGAATATCTTGCAAGATGTGCAGTCTGTGCTGTGGATGAAAAGAGTGCCTCTCAGGATAAGTGGTCTTGGGCAGCACTAAATGGGATGGATCCATGCAGAGAAACTAATATAATTGTGGCATATTAAAAGGAGAAAGACAAGAAGGATTGAGGAGGGGCTGTGTCAGGCTCATTACAGAGGGGAAAAGCGATATATGTCACCTTGTAATGGTTGCTCCAGGAAGGTCCATCAGGAGGAGAAGTGAAGTGAAACCACAAGGCAATTGACAGTGATGGAGGCAGGAGGGGTTACAGCAGTATTAATCCTGTATGAACCATTGATCTCTTGGTGTACAATTTGCTGGAAAAGACTGCTATACAGGATCAGCTGTTAGCAGGTGCTAATTGAAGCCAAGCAGTCTGGAGCTTCATTGCACTGCCTTCCCTTGATTAGAGCAATACAGGGGAGGCTGGTGTTGGGGAAAGGGACTTGTTGGTGTGATTCACAGCACAGGGATAAAACAGCCTTTTTCTCTACTTAAGAGACAAGAGGAAGGGGATAGAATATTCTCTGTACACAGCTGCATGTATGCACCTATGTGCAGGGAGAGTCCCTGGCAGGACACATCCACTTCTCAGTTCAAAATTCCCTGTGGATGGGACAAAACCTCACCTCAGGATTCACTCAGTTGACAGAAAGGTAGTGCCTTTCATCCCACGTTCCATACCCTTGACCTTCCTAGCTTTTTTGGTTTGCAAAGCCTGCAGCATTTTCCCCAGAGCAGACCTGTGTTAGCAGATTTAAGTCATTTGCCTGTAGCCAGGCTCTTCTTAGTTAGCCATTCTGGAGCCTTGCAAAACAGTCTACAGAGCTGATGCTACAAAACATTGACCTGCAAGGCCAAGAGCCCACAGGATTTCTGCCAGCCAAGACCTCTGTGATTTGTAGGCAGAGGAGAGCTGGCACCATCACTCTGAGGGATTAACTTGGATGCACAAGCAGGGCTGCAGCATGTGTCCCATCTTGCTTGATTCCTGCTGGGTTTGCTGAGGTGTTATGAGGTGTGCCCACGAGTGCATGTATTTCTGATGTCCAGGCCTTGGGTGTGCTGCTGAATAAGAGCTCTGCTCACAGAGAGATGTTGAGGAATGGATGCTCTGCTCCTGCAAAGGACACTTCTGTTCTCTGGTGAAAAGTCCACTCCATGCTCAGCTGAGTCTCTGCCACCTGCAGGAGCCCTACACTGCTGCCTCCAGGATTCAAACTGAAATAAAAGCAAGGAAGTTGATGATCATCCCTCACAGATGTAACAGAGCTCCAGAGTGGGATCAGGGGCTCATCTTGTTGTGAGTGGCATGAAGGCAAGTTCACAACAGCTGAAAAACAGGGTGGTGCAGGGCGTACACACAGGGCTCCACTGCTGGGAGCTTGTCCTCATTAGCCCCATATCCATCCATCCATCCATCCATCCATCCATCCATCCATCCATCCATTCATCTATCCAAGTGAGGATCATCTCCAAACAGATGGTTGAGCTCTACTCATCATGTGCATTGTTTATGTACAAATCCACTTCCAGAGGGAGTGTAAATTGAGCCTGGAGTGCTTTCCATGGGATTCTCCATCCATAGCCATGAACTTAAGACTTCACAGGATGAGTCACAGAGAGCCTCTGACTCCAGCCAAACCACAAGCTGCGGCAGGTTGGACTCCACTGAGTTAATGGCTTGTCTGTGCTGTGGTGTGGTAGCTCCAGCTGACTGAATGCTGTGCAAGGGAGAAACTGAGGCACATAGGAGTGACAGTGAATTAAATCCAGAAGCTAATGTCTGTCTGTGTAGTCCTCTCCTGCAATTTCCCATTGGAAGCCTCCATGACTGGCTATAACTGTGAGCCTGGAGACCTGCCACAACCTGTGCCAGTCTGGGTGCAAAGTGATGAAAATGCAGTGATGTTGCTGAGCAGCAGGAGGAGGCTGCTTAGCCTTGCAGGAGCTCCTGTTGTTGGGAGGGAGTGTAGCATTACATAGGATACAGCAAGCCATGAGCCTGGCGGTCGTATCCGTGGCACAAGCTCCTGTTCTCAGCAGACTTGAAGCACAGGGTCTTGTGTTTTCCTTTGTATGAGGGTCTCTCAGTGTGGCATAGTGGAGGGGCAGATCAGGAAGTGGGATTTCCCACTGTCCCTCCTCACTCTTAGAGCATCACAGAAATCCTCTGTCAGGGTTAGGACCCACGGCCACAGGCTCACCTTCTAGTGAGCTCCAATACTGTTCCCACTGGTGCTCCAGTGAAGTCTATTCTCTATCCTGGGATCCTTCCCTGTGTCTTTTGCTCTCAAGGAGCTTCTGAGTCTTTGTCCATTAGCAGGCAGCTCTTGCCTTCCTCTCTCCACATCACTTTGGGCACTAAGACAAAGGACTTTGCTCCTCCTTGGTTTTGGAGGGTGCTTGTGCTCTGTCTCTGGTCCCGCCTCTCAGCCTTGGCTGGGGCAAAAGCTGTGCCAGCTCCCTGGTTGCTGTAGGCAGAGAGCCTTTAGGAATGCTTGCAGGATGCCTCACTGCTGATTTGCAGCTGCAGCTCACCAGGGTCTGCCCCAGCTCAGATTCCTCCAGCTCTAAGCTCTGACACAGACATACCTGTCCACTCCTC